ACACACACACACACAATAGTTTACAAAAAGCTCTTCCCTCCAGGACTGCAGTATTCAGTATTTATTTTAAGTTCCTGCTGTTTGCTGAACCAATTCAGACTTGCTAAAAATATCAGCCCATAACTCTGAATGCTACAAGAGAAAATGTGTCTATGCTAGAATTGCCAATTCTCCCTTTTCTTTGGTGCAGCTGAGCAGGAAGCACCAAAAAGCTTTAAAATTTATGGTATAATAATTCTGTTTTTAGCATAACTTGGCAACAAATTTTACCACTTTAGTGTTTTATTCAGTGCAGGATACAAGAAGACCAAATATAAAACTTGGGCAGAATGTTTGCTTAATGTACAAACTAAAACCTATTGATGGGCCTGCATTTTTGTTCCTGTTTATTACCCTGCACTTCAAATTAACACATTAGCAAGTCAGACAATCCTGTAAATCTACCACTGAGGCTCAGTTGAATTCTATACTGATTTCCACTGTTTAAAATGGCAGGTCCAAATATATCCTAAACAAGTCTCAAGGCAGACTCTTTTCCTATAGATACATCTGAAATGTGAATCCCAAGGAATGTGAAGTTCTTTCAGGAAATGAACCCTCTTTTCATTCTTTGCTTGGAGTGTGCCCAAAAATATCAATCTGGGAAGTATCAGGAATTATAAATATGTTCCACAGTAAAATATGGACTAGCTTACAGAAGCTTCACAAAGTATATTGTGCAGAGGTCCAGTATTTTCTACTGCAAAGTGTTCTCTGCCCCAAACAGATCTACCAATGTGTACAGAAGGGTTTAAAGAGATGGCATCCACAAATCATTCCCCACGTGAAACACAGATGTAACCCTTGTGTTTCCCAACAGCAGTTTTAATGAGTGAAGCTGCCCTTGGGCTGACATCCATTCCTGTCTCTAGACTGCCACCTGTTTATACTGAAAAACAGCAACCAAAGCTAGCATGGCAGCTAAGAACAGACCATAGCCTTAAAACATCCATCAGTGGGAGAAGAAAAACCACACATATATTCTATTTTAGACAGAATGCAACCAAGGAAACCAACCTCAGAAAGGCAATACTATTCGACAAATTTACCCAGGTAAACCAGGAAACTACCAGACCTTGATACAGATAGTTATTAATAGACTGCTGCTAAGAAAAGAAAACCCTTTTCTTTTGTTATTATGCTGATCTACTTTCACACAGATATATAACCAAACTATTCCAAGGAGAGCTCTGTTACCTTAGAGTAGTTTTGCTGCCTGGATTAGTCAGAAAGCTGAAGTGCCTGAAGCAGGCATTGAGAGAGTTTATTATTGCAAATTAAATTGCCAAATGCATTTCTGAAAAGCGCTTTCTTCAGGAGGTGTAGGTGTAAGCTAAGCTTCTCAGTAATGTGGGGTGTGTCTTCAGATCCACACAAAGGACAGAGTGTGGGAAGATGGACAGACAGATGCTAACAATGGACTGTATTGTCCAACCAAGCCACATCCATTTAATTCTCCCTAGGCTGATTGGCCTATGCTGTTGGAGTATAAGACTGGCAGATGGTTTGAGAAGGAACTTTTCCCCTCTGGTCCCCTCCTGGACCATATAATGGGGCCAAGGCCAATGTTTTCTTTTCAGCCTGTATTCTCTCCCTTATTAATTGCTTCCTTGCTGTGGTGTCTACTTGTCAATCATCCGGACTGGGAAGGCATTTTCACTCACATTGCTGATTGTTGTTTCCAGAATTCCCCCCCCGCGCGCGCGCGCACGCGCACACACACACACACACACACACACACCTCAGAGTAAGGAGGTTTATGCTTCTTCTCCTTGAGTTGTTCTTTGCTAACTTAAGCTGCATGCCAAAACTGCATGTACAGCATTGGGGCTGTGAGTAAGGACCACAGCAGGTGGTACGTAGAAATGGATTCCCCACATGCCCTCCTGGGGGAAGCTTAAGGGATCATAGGGATACAGACTTGGCACCGTTTATTATTATTATTATTATTATTATTATTATTATTATTATTATTATTATTACATTTCTATGCCGCCCCTTGCCGAAACCTCGGGGCGGCTTAATAGGAAGCCTAATTTGGCTACACATCCTAATTGAGGGGTTTTAATTATGACAATAGATCCATGCCCTCCAGTTATTTCAGGCAAGTTTATTTGGAGTAAAAGGCTGTGATGTTGCGTGCAGGCACAGTGGCATTAAATCAAAGTCAGCATAATAAAAATGGTGATGCTCATATTGCACTTTGAGTTAGTTGGGGACCATCTTCTGGTTTTATTGTGGAAATACCGTGGTCACTTTAAAGGCAGTATGCCTGGTGCCCATCATATGCTGAATGTGTTCAATAGTTTTTTCTTAGCAGCTGGTTGACACTTTGGACCTAATGGATGGCACAAGCTATTGAAGCGGTTCAGCATAGTGTGCCTGAAAGATGAATTGTAAAAGAGACAGACGACAGTTTTATAACTCTCAAGTATCTGTGAAGTGATGGACATCCCAGTATTCTTTTCAAAGCTGACTTATCTTTTAACCTATCGGAAAGGCTCATTTTCTACAGCAAACTACTGTCAGTAGACAGTCAAAGCAGCATCAGCAGCACTGAGAAACAGTTTAATGGACTATATTGTGCTGTGCCTGAGATGGCGAAAAAGAATAACATCTATTTATCTTCAAAGTGTGTATTCCGTTCCAGAAAATCCCTTTCCTGTTTCTCACAGACAAATTATTTCCTCTTCGATTTATAAATGCCCCCTTACTTTTTTAAAAAAAATATTGATTGTATTTAACTTGCTGTGTTTTGATTTTGTAAATGCAAGGCAGGCAGCACTGAGCCACAATAAATATTTATAGAGGATGCAGTGCCACATTATTACTTATCACGTGTATCATCCAGACATCTTTCTCCCATCAACAGCAAGTGAAGGCACTAGGAATAATGTACAAGATATTTCAGCGCCAGGTCAATTGTTCATAGTAACAATTCATGCCTGACACCAACACAAAACTTTTTTCTTAAAGGAAACTTGTCAAGCATTTGGGAAAAGGCAGGACATACTTTATATTTAAGGACTGGCAAGGAAGTATCCTTTTATTGATTTGCAGAAGTGTAACATTAAGGGTGGGGTGAATAAATAAAAATCTTTGATCAAATATGTTGCATAACATTGTCCTTTTTCAATAGAACTAAGCAAGACATGGTTTCCCATGTTTTGTGTTTCATTTTGCAGGTGAAAAAAGGCACCACTTTTTATGTTGATGCCACAATGGCAACTCAATTAAACAGCATAGGAAAGGGGGGCTGAGAATGGAGATGCAAGTGATGAGGAGGCAAAGAGTGTTGTATAGCGTGAGACCACTGCGGATGGTCAGAGCATGTGGAAGGAAGCGGGACCAAGAGGGATGGTAAGTATTTCTCCACCACCAGCACTGATCTCTCATGCCGCTTTTCCTGTGCTACTTCTAAAACTGCTGAATGCCATCATATTTTTAATGGGTGCCCAGAGCACCTATACATTTTTCCACATTACCAAGAAATGTTATCTGGATTAAAAATCCACATGTAATTATTCTGAATCTAAAATTTATCAGCTGAATCAGGCAGGAATCTAGGAAGTTCCGCACAAATCCTTACAGGAAAAGTTGCTCCTTGAATATCCTCATAGAGCCAGTCACTTAAACACACATGCATGCATGCAAGCACACAATATACAACAATTTTGCATAGGAAACAATGTGCATGTGTTAAATTTTAATCTTTTTACAATGGGGGGAAACCTCTTCAATCAGGTTTCTATAAATCATACATGGGAGGTGTAAAGTTTGTATAGCATTGACAACATTTCTGTTACCAAAAATAGTGCTTGCTCTCACATGGTGCTTTGGAGTGTTCAGATTTATCTCAGTAACATCTACATTATATTTCTTGCAGGGGACTTTTTTGAGCTAAATGGTAGGCTACAATGGCATTATATACAAACACATCTTTTCAGCCACCTACCAAGCTGGTTCTGTTATCCCATATTGCAGATGGTGTGTGGAGGCAGAAAGGCAGCAAACTGCCTAGGATCTCATTAGTAAGGTAGCCAATCATGTGTTACCAAAAGGTGGAAATAAATCCCCCCCAAAATAAGACTTATATTTAAATAACATTTACAGGTGTGAATGCATATGAATAGATGCGACTTTAGAAAAGCTAGCTGCAATGTAAAAAGACTTTTCACCATGCTTTGCTCAATCAGCTGTCCAATTGCGAATGGGCAACTTCAAGGCCTTCCTGCTCTTCCTCCTTATAGTCCTTTAAACCAAAGCTGGACCACTCTTCAAATAGTGGGCTGTCCTCTGGGAAACAGCATTGCACTACCAGATAGATGCTTGATAGTTATGGCAAGACTAGAGCCAGGGTCTTCTTGGTTCATAGCTCTGTCCCTTTGCCAGTATGCTATACTAGCTTTTCATCTTTAAGACTGCAAAATGAATCCTAGTGGTATGTGAGCTGAACCTCATGTTCTAAAGTTGTAACAAGCTATCTGTTGCTTACCCACTTTTACAAGCAAGAGGAGTGAACAGACTGCATGCACTAGCATATTGCTTATTCACAATAACTCAGAAGTCAGGAATCCTAGCTTATCAATATGTGCAAATGCAGGTCAATGTGAGACAACATGAACTATTTTTTATTCCAAAATATTTTGGATACCACATATACACTTCTTTGTAACATCCTAAGTTATAGCTTTTATGGGTCAGATGGAAAGGCAATAAAATACATTTTGTTCATCCCTTTGGGGCAGAAGGAGCACTGTCACATCTGTTAAACAAACAAACACGAACCACAGAAAATCTGTTGTAGGAAATCACATACCTATTCCACCCTAACAAGAAAGCAGAACAAAAACAAACTAAATTGAGAGGGGGAAAAACCAAAAGTAGAAACCAGTGCCAGAGTACTGTGATGTCTCTGAATTTCCAAGATTGTGTGCCTTACCTTCTACAAACTGACTTACCGAACATCTGCACAGGTTATACATGAGATGCACCGACTATTTGTTGTAATGAGGCTCAGTGGCACAGATGTCTCACTGTCAGAGGTTGGGTGCGCTCCACATTTAAAGTAGAATTCCTGCAATATTGAAGAAGAGATAAAAGGAAGATTACATACCTACACTCCATGTCCTCTCTTTATCTTAGTCTAAGTAAGGCAATAGATAAATCACTGCTGCCACTAGAAGAAGAGGAGACTCATTAGGGATGTTTTAGAAAGAATGCCTGACGGTATCTTTGTACAAGACGTGCGTGTTGCTCCTTGGACATCAAAGGAGAGAAGGACATATGCTCTTATTTGCAGAGATTCTGTGCTAGGTTTATGGCTCGTGCAGGCAAAAATTGTACAGAAACACAAAAGACCTGTTCCTGCAAAAAGTGAACCACAGGTAGAAAGGGATTTCCTAAGTGGGAAAGATCCTCCTCACTGCATACACAAACTTCTGCTCTGGAAGAAGGGGATCATCCACATTGAGTTGCTCACTGAAATAAGAAACCTGCATTCCCAGATTTGAAGCCAGAGCAGAGCCATACATGATGCAGTGTAATTCTGGATCTTCCAGGGAATCCCTGCGGTCAGCTCTTACTGGAGAACAGACAAAATGGAAATTGGGACCTGCAGCTCAGGGAGGAGAAAGAAATGCTTTGTGACCAAGAGCAGGATCCTATTGGCTCCCCACTCCTCCAATTTCTAAGTTATAGAATGGATTTCACCTTTCAAATCTGTTTGGGAGGAGTAAGGGAGCGTGTTAGGGACATGGGAAAAAATGGAAATATTTGAGTGAGGGAGAAATCCAGTGGTACGTGGGAGTTCATCCATGAAATCTAATGTCTTTGATCCCTCACAGATCTGATACTGAAACAGAACAACAGAAACAAAAATCTGCAACCCAGACTGAGAAGCGAACAGCAAAGCTGTTTTTATGGCAATTTTGTAACCATGTTAGCAGGTGAAGGGCATTTTCTCCAAGAGGCTACTGTAACTACACAGAACAGAGATTACCACAGAACGGAGATGGTTAATTATTCCACATACTACCATTGAACAGGGACATGAGAATCAGGAATACTTGAGTTCATTCTTGTCCTACCTCCATTCATCTCACTCCTATTCTCACTTGCAACTTGTTTTTCCTTTCATTCGAGTGCACATTTCACATCCTTGTGCATATTTTTCAAAAGTGTACACTTTTCACTCGACTAAAGTGAAGAGACAACATAGAAATGTTTCTAAAATAATCGTAAGTTTGGAAACTTATATACCATTTGCTTAAAAACGCACTCACTCCCATTTGTGTTTGGAATTGTGAATGAGCAAGGCAAAATGATCTGCGCACGGAAACAAATTCCTCATTCGGCCCTGCTACAGAAGCATAGCACCAGAATGAAAGCAAACCATTAAAAAGTGTAACACTTGAGAGCTTCTGTGCAAAAGTTCAAAGTAAAAGACGATTTACTGTTCTGTTGTAAACTCAACAAATTTATCTACCTCTTTGGATATGACAAATTGTGAACAGAGTGCATAACTATTCCAGAAACAGAGAGTGGAGAGTATGTCCAAAACACAGTGTGCTGCATGTTGCATTGAATAAAGAATATGATTTTCTTGATGAAAGGGATTCTGCTCTGTGTTCTCAGTATGTAATTTACAGTCTCCATGTTGCTTATCAACAGAGCAAATAATGTTCAGTTGAGAAGAAGAGATGCAGCCATAGAGTAGAATTTCATCCTATTTATTCAAACAGGTATTTTCAATATCTGTCAAATATAAAAATAGCAAGAACAGTTTTCAAGGGAACCTAACACCCACTACAGTCCTTAGTAGCAAGCAGATCAGGCTGGGTGAATGAAATCATGTTTGCACTGCAAACAATTACAGTATATGGGAGGGTTAGGTAATCCAAAAATAAAACTCTCTAATGTGATACTTAATCCATATTATGGTAGCAACAAAAGCCCTTTGATAGCATTTTATATGAAAATATTCTTTAGGCCCATCATGCCCTGACTACATGAAGTGCTTTAAAATATTAACTGTTCTCTCTGTATTATCACTTCAAATTGTCAGGTTGTCAATGCTTAGCTTATTCTGCAGCAGGACTATCTGTGTGTTTATCTGTATGTATTTTCAAGGCACAGCTAAGAAACTATTTGGAAACATCAAAGAAGCATCTACCTGGTGCTCCTGCTCTCTTTACATTAATGGTGTTTATAAACTGGGTATATGCTATGAGGAACAGATGTAAGCAGAACGGATGAAAGGTGCTATGGATAAGGTACTAGTCATAAGTCTAGTTAGCAGTTTATGCTTGAAGTGCTATTATATTAAAGTTTAATATAAGTAGCTCCACTGAAAGACCATGATCCCCAACTCCACAAAATGATACACATAGCCAGGGACTTCAGGTGTTTGTGTCAGATTTTAACTCCACAGTGGTTTGTCTGCTTGATGCTGCCAAGTCTTTCAGTTCAGAATCTGGAGTGCCAGATTGTCATAAGTTCTGTTCTTCGCCAAAAATCATTTTAAGTCCATCTATTCCTGCTCCTCTACAACATGTAACACGAGTTAGTCCCAGCTATGACTACTCTTGGCCCTTGCCAATACATTAAGATTGGCAAGGGCCTTCCTTTGGTTAGGAATGTTTGAGGATTTGGTTCAGTCCATTTAAGAGAATCGGCCTCATTTATGCTTCCTGGATTAACGTGCAGATCAGAATATGGCCACATATTTTACAGTTCTCCTCATTTTGTGTTACAGATCTAGCTTAACATTATGCCAGTTAATATCCAAACAGAAATGTCTGTTTTCAGACCAGTTGCATACATGATTCCATATTAGGCAAAAACAGTAAAATGCAGTTTTTGTGTATGCTTTTTTACTGCAGATTGATGAGAAATTGGGAAAGAATGAATATGAATAAACACATAATGAACTGATGGAGTCTTTGACTTCAGTTTGTTAAAATTGTTTTATGTTGTAATTTTAATTTTTCTCTAATCTATAGCTATCTTTTGCGGCTGCTTTTAAAAATAAGAACATACAGGGTCCCCATTCTTGTATATTACCATTTACTGGGGTGCATTTCATTTAAATCAAATCAACTGAAATTATTATTTAAATCACTAGTCGATAAGACTAGATTTAAATCCTGGTTTTCTACATAGTTTTTGCATGCATGCCTGTCTTAACTGTAGACAGAGAAACTTCATTAAAATATTCCTAAACTGGGACTCTTTTATAGCCTGCTGCCACTATAGGTTTTCTACCCCAGGAAAAGGTAAAACTCAGGCTTTACACAAAAAAATCCAAACACTTGCCAGTATTCTGCTCACTTTCATTTTTACTGCTTGCCCCTCCCTCCTCACTCTTAGCTTCTTGTCCAGATCTTTTCCACTCCCATCAATCTTCTTTTCATTGAATTTAGAGGTAAGGGGTTGATTCTGTGTACCTAATTTCTAAAGAATCAGTGGAATTAAGGTATTTTTCTCACCTCTGCATGTTTATTTTATGAAATTTTTGCTGTGAAGAAGAGGCATGTGATCTCTGCAGACACAAATTCACAGTTTTGAGAACTGTCAAGACCAAGCATCTGTGATAATATCTTCCAGCTAGAAACATTTAAACATAGCATGAATATACAGCCTCATGCTATATACTTAAAAATAAATCCTAATTTCATGAGGCATAACCTTTGGACTATAAAGTATCTTAGAAAGAAAACTTAGATCGTTTTTTCCCCCCTCAAAAAGGATTTTATTTAGAACAAATCCAAATTAAATAAAAATCCAATTAAAAAAACTGTTAAAATCAATGAGTTTTATCCACTCTGCTATTTACCAAGAAGATAGTAGAGTGATGTTAAAAACACTGCTGTCCAGGCAGAACTATGCTTATACTTCAAAATCATCTCCAGCAATGTATACATGAGCTTTTATTAGCTAAACAACTGTTTTATTAGCTAAACAACTGTGAAGGATTCAATGCTAAAGTAATTCTTTAGCTCTTGAGAAGGACTGCCAGCCTGAGCTCCCTAGATCTTATTTTCTACCCACTGCCACCATTTTTTCAGATTTCGTTAGTCTAATGACTGGATCTTATTTGAATGTACCCAGAAGTTATTTAAAATAGGGTCCAAAATTTTGCTGCACATATATAAAGATTTGAGGGTACTGACAAGATCGTGAAATGCACATATACAAGTCAAAATGAACATTGGGAATTGGATTTAGAGTGTACTACACAGTATACAGGCTCACAGGAGAGGAGACTAAGTGGTAAAACATCTGCTTTGCTTGTACAAGGTTCTGAGGTTAATCTCAAGCAGGCAGGGCTCCCTCTATCCATAATATTGGGCTAGTGTGCTGTGGTGATGAGAATGCTGGGCTGGCAACCCAGGAGATCTAGCTTCTAGTCCCACAAGACCATAAAGCTCACTGGGTGACTTTGGGCCAGTAACAGACTCTCAGCCCCACCGATCTCACAGAGTTTGTGTTGTGAGCATAAAACGGAGCTATGTAAACCACCTTGGGTTCCTCAAAAGAGGAAAAGGGTGGGAGAAAAATGCCATATACAAATAATAATACATAGACTGATAGTCTGACCTAATATTATGCTAAATGGGTCCTCTTAGACAAAAAGACAACTTGGTTGTCTCAGCTCTCTTTTCCTTGCCATAATTAATTCTTTTACACATAATTAATCATCATGGTAATTCATTGTCAGAGTAAAGATATGGTTAGAAAAAAATGAAAAAGCATACTGACATTTAATCCATGTAAGAAGCACGCAACAAAGGAAGTGGGGGAGATCAGGAAGAGAATGTCTTAGAAACTGGAAATAATACTCCTTCACAATAGTGCTCTACTGCACAGAGAAATATTGTAGCATTGCAGGTGGAAAACAGCTGAATGAAATCCGTAGACGTAAGTAAAAACCTTTCGCTGCTGTTCTTCCTACCACAAAGGGTCTCTCAGAAGCTGCAGCTGATGTTTTTTGTTGGGAATCCCAAGTCCAAGCAACAACAGAATGTCTCACCAAAATGACGCTCTTAACAGCCTGAAACCAGAAACTCCCAATGG